TCCTTTTGTTGTTCTTAAAATTATATTTCTTCTTTTGTTATACACAAAATATAGATAATTATGTATATTTTGTGTGTTGGTGAAGCTATATATTATGTATGTTGGACCTTTGTTGCTGTTATTGCATTATTCCGTATATGTTTGGTTTGAAATCAAGTGTCTGATTAGATGTACAATCAAGTAGCAGGGTAAAATTGTCATTTTTCATCGGTCAACACATTCAGTCAGACGTACAATCAAACGATATGTTTTCTTACTCAGTCAATATTTCTTACCCAAACAGACATTTCCCAGTCAGCACCTTCTCAGTCAGCGACTATCAAACGGGACCTTAGTCTAGTATATTCAAATTGTGTGATAGAAACAAGTACCTTTTTGTACTTACTGGAACACAAAAAATAATAAAATACAACTATAGGCTATAATAGTTACTCAAAGACCAGTTGACCAAGTTAACTACAAATGAACAAACTAATAAACTGGAAGTAATAAACTACGGATTAAAGGAAATACCTCCTGGATGACAAACATGAAAAAGTTGTAAATCATTGAAACATTTAGAAATCTATCAACAAATTCTCTAATTTCAAACTGGTATATCTATATTCTTATATCATAAATGTATACAGATTACAGACAGACAGAGATCTTAGTTTCTAAAATCAGATTTTCTTCAACCAAAACTTTAAAATATTATTATTTTCTTGATACAACAATCAGTCGATCATCTATATTTGATGCAATGATGTTGTATTATATTCCTAAAGACAGCGTATTTGAAACATAAAAACTGAAAAGATAAAATATTGTTGTTCTTACTTCTTACAATCGACAATCGTGAATCGTCAAATCTCAATCTATAATTAGAGAATGGACCGAGAAGGAAGAATGGATAAGTTGTTGGCTATGTTTCAGATCTTTTAGTTAATCCGTTTTCAAGAATCGATATTGGAGGGACAGGAGGAGAAGACGTCAAGACGAGAAGGAAGAAGCACACTGAAATCGAATTGTCGCAGTATCTCTAGTCGTTACTCATTGATTGTGGTGTCCATGCGTATTGCGTAACAAACTAACAATCTCTACTAGAAATTAGAGCCCTAAGCCCTTGCTTATGTTGGCATAAGGTAAGGCCGAGCATGGCTACAACAACACTAAGAACATCCATAATGGAGAGTTTAATGAGAGAGTTGAATGAGGTGACAAGTCTATTCAATGGATGAAACTCTACCATTGTGAGATACTAGCTTGACATTCAATGAATTTAGAGTACAATGGTCCTTGAACTATTCAATAGGAAAAATGAAAGTTTATAAGTTTTAAATAAATATTATAAATTTTTGCTAATGTTCCATTGAACTTTATAGAGTTCATTCCATTATTGTAAGAAAAAAAAATTATAAAGTTGTATGGAATGAAGAATGATGATGTATCAATTGAACTCTATGAAATTCAATACATTATAGATTCCCTCGTAACGCAACAACTTTAAAAAGGTGTCCTCTAACAGAAATGCTTATGCATGCATAAAATGTTTTGGAACATATATATTTAACCACTTACCTGATGGTATATATATTTTTTGTTTACACAAGACAGCCTTATTACGTAATGTGTTTTTCTACTTGATATATCAGTTACTATCGTGTATTAGTTCAATCAACTTATCTATTTTATGGAACAATTAGGATACGTGCATTGAAACACTAAGAAGAGGAAAATCTAAAAACGAAATTAAGATAAAAATAAGAATCTAATCAAACGGTTAACAGGCACTACAATGCTACTTGCTAGGACCCATATAAAATGCCTAAAGTATTGAATACCTTCAAAATTGAGAATCCATTCAAAAAATTTCCATAAAATGGTTCAAATACACAACAAGAAGCCTGAGAGGCTGTTCGCAATAATAGTTACTTTTAGCTTTCAGCATAGAGAATCGATAAGATGAGTGGTGATCCATACTAGGGGTGGAATTGGTACGGTACCAATTCATTTTTCTCTAAACCGTGTACCGTACCAACTATAATTGGTATAAAAAATTTTCTACCGGTACCATACCAACTATACTTGGTACCAATTTATTTGGCTACCAACATGTTTGGTTGGTACAAATTGGTAATGGTATATACCAACTTCTTTTAATTTTCTATTGTAACATTTAAAAATAAGCAAAGAAATCGGGATTTTGATGTTTAGTATAGAAATTAGTTACGTAGTTCTTTTTGTTTACAAAAGAATTCTATTAAAATAAAGACATCGGGATTTTAATGTTTAATATAGAAATTAGTTACGTAGTTCTTTTTGTTTACAAAAGAATTATACTAAAGTAATGCTAAATTAACGGTTTAATTTTGTGCTTTAACGTGGTAATAACTATCGACTAATACAATCAAATGACTAAAATAATGTTATTAAAACTGTAAACACTAAACACAATTA